GCGTATTTGATGGTGCTACATAGCCTTCCCGGTTTGGTGCCTTCTTTTGATAATTACTTACTTACTTACTTTCGACACCTTTACTATTCCAGAGAAGGAAAACCTTCCATCATTCTCCCTTCACAGCTCGCCTACACGTGCCGTGGCCTGGTAATGTCCCTAATCACTTGTTAAAGGGTAACAACGTTACAGTGTAATAGAGAGAAAGGATGGGACACAGAAACTGTAGTAGAGACGACATAAAGAGGAAATAACAAGACAATGCTGAATGGAGAGATTGGGTAGAGACAGAAAATAATGAGAAGGATAAGAAGGATGGGGAGTGGAGAGGGAATGTTGATAGGTGAGTGAGTACCGCGATAAATTGAGGAGGATAGCATGGGGGAAGGAACGGTGAGGGAAGAAAGAAATGGACAAATGTGAAATAGATGTGAATAAGAGATTAAAAAGTGAACAGATGAACATAGAATAAACGACATACATAGTTTAAAGAGTTAATTATATTAAGAGACACGAGTTTGGTCCCCAGGAATTGGCGCTCAATCCTGTAAAGTGATCAAAATACAGCTATGTAAACACACAAACATGCACACATAGTTAATAGAGTAGTTAACAAATGGAATGCATTAGGTAGTGATGTGGTGGAGGCAGACTCCATACAGTTTCAAGTGTAGATATGATAGAGCCCAGTAGGCTCAGGAACCTGTACACCAGTTGATTGACAGTTGAGAGGCGGGACCGAAGATCCGAAGCTCAACCTCCGAAAGCACAACTAGCTGAGTTGAAATAGAAGATGATTCTGGTAAGAGTAAATTCCATTACATGACCAAAGGGCACGGGTTCTGGTGATTGGAAAGAGACCTTGAAGATTGTAGGTGAATTCCCCTCGCCTTCTATTTACTCCAATCACCCTTCCCTTTCCCTGCCTTCATCTGCTCCGCCCTCCTTCCCTTCCCTTCATCCTTCCCTTCTACCCTCCTTCCCTCCCTCCCATTTCCTCCCGTTTCACCCTCATTCTCAACCTCGCGGAACAGGTATACTGGTGTTGATAATTAGATTAATGGCGTCTTCGTGGGCCGCGCTTCAAAATGCAGATTAGCAGATTAATGGAAATGCCATCTCGAAGGTAATATTGGTGAGGACTTTAGAGGAAGGAATATGGAGGTATATGTTGTTTGCGACCGGCTCGTTGGACTGTGTTACATAAGAGTACATATTTTTCACTAGTAAGAGACCTAATGGTCAGAGCTGAAGAGTCCTACAAGATACACAGGTTTGAGCCTAAGGTTCGGGAAGCTTGAGGCCCGCCAAAATTAGGGGTAAAAATTAAATACATGCTCTAAAAATCATTTATTATTTTGACAAAGTGAAGTAGATTCTAAGAATCTAGGAATCTAAGCTCAATACCCGTGGTTATCTTAATCCACCTCTGATAGCCCAACCACTTGGGCTGGACGGTGGAGCGACGGTCTCGCTTCATGCTGGTTAGCTTTCCATCTACGACCGTCCAAGTGGTTGGGCAACATTCCTTTTCCTCCTGTCCCATCCCAAATCCTTATCCTGACCCCTTCCCAGTGCTATATAATCGCAATAGCTTGACGCTTTTCCCTGATAATTCCAGTTCCCACCTCTGATAATGCTACCGAGATCTATTTTACGGGGACTTTGTCTGCTCATCTTACTTAAGTTTATTGAGAGGTAGAAAGTATCCAGGCTGCAATAAATGTATTTATATGCATGTACATTTACTGTATTCTCTTGCAATTTAGTAGAATTTTCAATAATCATAATGGTTAGTATTAAGATTTTCAATAATCTAGACTGGTTAGTAAATATCAATATATGACTTCGATTTCTTGCAACATTTCAATTTCATTCCGATACTTGTTGATGCAGATTCACTTTGCAGTTCACAAAAATACTTGAAGTGGCCAGATTTTGGCATGTACGGGACATTCGATCAGTAATTAAAGCAAATTCAAGGTTGGCGAGCTGTCCTCTCAGTAAGAGTGGGGAAGGATGAAGAAAAGAGGTTTGATGAACAATGGAGAAGGATAGACGAGTTAAATATATATTCAGGTGAAAAAAACACACACACACCACACACACACACACACACACACACACACACACACACACACACACACACACACACACACACACCCACCAGTAGGCTCAGGAATCTGTACACCAGTTGATTGACAGTTGAGAAGCGGGACCAAAGAGCCAGAGCTCAACCCCCGCAAGCACAATTAGGCGAGTACAACTAGGTGAGTACACACACATTCAGGAGCTGAAGATCACTCCAAGTTCATTATAGTGGAGCATTCATGTGTAAGTACAACTGGGGAAGAACAGCTGGCTTAGTACACATCCATCAACAACAATCAGTCTCGCCTAACTGCTCAAGAAGGCCGTTATAACGACTGAAAACCTTGCAGTCTCCTTCCAAATTCTAATAAGATTTTTCCGTATACATAAACAAAATTACACACACACACACACACACACACACACACACACACACACCCACCAGTAGGCTCAGGAATCTGTACACCAGTTGATTGACAGTTGAGAAGCGGGACCAAAGAGCCAGAGCTCAACCCCCGCAAGCACAATTAGGCGAGTACAACTAGGTGAGTACACACACATTCAGGAGCTGAAGATCACTCCAAGTTCATTATAGTGGAGCATTCATGTGTAAGTACAACTGGGGAAGAACAGCTGGCTTAGTACACATCCATCAACAACAATCAGTCTCGCCTAACTGCTCAAGAAGGCCGTTATAACGACTGAAAACCTTGCAGTCTCCTTCCAAATTCTAATAAGATTTTTCCGTATACATAAACAAATATTATACAACACTAAAACCCATTACCATACCCTTCCACTCAACCCATCCCTTCCACTCAACCCATCCCTTCCACCTGCTAACTTGCCCGTCCCACCTTCAACATATTCAAATGGAAAACGCATTCAGGAACAAGCGACAAACAGGTTGAAATGATAAATTCGCGTAAGGCGTGAATCCCGCACATACACACAGATCCCCCTCTTCCCTCGCTCGAGAGATCTGATCTCAACACCAGCAGCCTCCTTCCGATCCCCTCTGGAGGCTTTGATGTTTATCTTGTGATTTCCAGCAGCACGTTCGCTCAGATCTTTACCCGCCGAGGACTGAATTGTGCTGCGTGGAGAGAGAGAGAGAGAGAGAGAGAGAGAGAGAGAGAGAGAGAGAGAGAGAGAGAGAGAGAGAGAGAGAGAGAGAGAGAGAGACAGACATAAAGAGAAAGAGAGAGACTGAAAGAGAGAGACAAAAAGAGACAGAGCGCGAGATGGATACATATATAGATGGAGATATAGATAGAAATGAAGAATAAATTGGGGAAAGAGGGATAATTATAGACAGAACATGAAAAAAACCGTTTACAGAAGAATGGAGAAGCCCTGATAATCAGAGAAAGTTTCTCAGAATTAGAGAGAAACGTTGACTATATGACAGAAATATTGACAGAATAGAAGGCAGACGATTAAGTCGGTTAACGATTTCCAATTATCTAGACTGGCAACTGATCTCAATTATCTAGACTAGACCTAGCGACGGGCTCCTAGCGAGGAGTATCTAATGACGGGCTCCTAGCTAGGGGCACCTAGCTAGGAGGACTCTCTTCAAGAGTCAGAGAGAGAGAAAGACCTGGGGGTTGATATCACGCCAGACCTGTCCCCTGAAGCTCATATCAAGAGGATAACATCAGCAGCATATGCCAGGTTGGCTAACATAAGAACGGCCTTTAGAAACGTGTAAGGAATCTTTCAGAACATTATATACCACATATGTCAGACCAATCCTGGAGTATGCGGCTCCAGCATGGAGTCCATATCTAGTCGAGCATAAGACTAAACTGGAAAAGGTTCAAAGGTTTGCCACCAGACTAGTACCCGAGCTGAGAGGTATGAGCTACGAGGAGAGACTACGGGAATTGAACCTCACTTCGTTGGAAGACAGAAGAGTTAGGGGAGACATGATCACCACATTCAAGATTCTCAAGGGAATCGACAGGGTTGATAAAGACAGGCTATTTAACACAAGGGGCACACGCACTAGGGGACACAGGTGGAAACTGAGTGCCCAAATGAGCCACAGAGACATTAGAAAGAACTTTTTTAGTGTCAGAGTGGTTGACAAATGGAATGCATTAGGAAGTGATGTGGTGGAGGCTGACTCCATACACAGTTTCAAGTGTAGATATGATGGAGCCCAATAGGCTCAGGAACCTGTACACCTGTTGATTGACGGCTGAGAGGCGGGACCAAAGAGCCAGAGCTCAACCCCCGCAAGCACAACTAGATGAGTACAACTAGGTGAGTACCTAGTGACGGGCTCCTAGTGAGAAGCATCAGGTGAATCATTGTTGACAACACAACTGACTTTGCCTCGTGTCCGCATGCTGCTTGTACAGCGCTTGGCACAGCTGTATATGACCCCTACCAGGAGACGCCACGCAACGCTACACAGGAGGCCGGTAATCAGGGATGCTTACCGTTATCATTCACTATCTTTGCCCTTACACCCTAAAAATGTAAGTAATAAGATAAATACACAGGAAAAGGCTTCCTGTGAGAGCCGGCCAAGGGACCACGTGGGGCAGAAGCCTCAGTAATTAGTAGAGGAATCGTGGAAGGATAATAATATTAATGTGTAAGGACTCCTTCTGCGACGCCTAGAGACCTCCGTAAGACCCTGCAATCTCGGCCAAAGCTAGAAGCCGTCTCGTTACCAAGAGATCTTGGAACTATGGCGGCACACAGAACTGCCAGGGCACCTAGGAGCACTATGACACCTAAGAGCCACCACGTTACTAAGACATTGGGCCACAGGAACTACCAGGGCACCTAAGAGCCACCACAGTACCCAGAGGCGACTACAAATAGGAATTATTACGGGTGCTAAAGTATTGTGTATGGTTGTCTTCCCCCGACCATCCTAGAAGAGTACTTACATGAGACGGTCGTGAGGAGAGGCGGCTTCCTCATCCTGAAGGGGCGGGTCAGTATGCTGCGGCCCGGACTCCGTCGCTGCCATGCTCCTCGGGTACTCTACAAGGAGCAGCAAGGTGACGTGTGAGGCTCTATTCTTCTACCGAGGAGGAGGAGGAGTAGTATCTTGTCTCAAGTCCCCCTTAACTCGGCTCCCGCAACACAAGAAGCTCTACTGGCGGGTACTGCGACAGGTGAGGCGTCTTGGTGGGGATGGAAGGGGGAAGATCAGGCGTGACAGGCGAGGCTAGAGGGGGTAGGGGTGACAGGTGAAGAGAAAGGGAGTTTTGGTATAACAAGTTTAAGGGGAGAGGGGGTGACTAGTGGGTATGACAGATAAGGGGTGGGGGGAGACTTGTATGACAGGAGTGCTGGGGGAAGGGAGGTGGGAATGGCAGGTGAGGGGGGGGGGGAAGGGGGAGGGAGAGGACACGCGAGGCCAGCAACACCTGCAGCTGTCGAGGCCAGGCAGCGGCGGCGGCGAGGACAGCAGCGGGAGGGAGAGGGAGGTGGCGGCAGTAGCGTGGGGCGGCGGCTGGGGTAGCGGGGCGTGCAACAAGTGCGGAGGTGTGCAGCGTAGTGAGCCGCCAGGCTGCGGTGTGGCGGCCTCCGTCGCGCGGGGGGACTACGCAGCTCCCCGCCCCACATCGATCTTGACCTGCGCTGTTTTTTTTTTCTTTTTTGCCTGCCCGGTGGCCTACCCCGAGTATTCCCTTTCGCTTGCCCGGTGGCCTGCTCGGAGCTTTCCCTTAATAGCCCGCCCGTTGGCCTACCCTGTGTCTGCTCTTTGGTCTGCCCCGAGCCTGCCTGGTAGCTTATCTCTATCTACCCCGAGTCTGCTCAATGACCTGCCAATATTTTGCCTGTTCAGCTATCCCACCTGCGTAATATATGAATAAATAAATATATATATATATATATATATATATATATATATATATATATATATATATATATATATATATATATATATATATATATATATAATATATAAATATAAATGCTCAACAAAACTTGATTTGGTGTCCTACTATTTTGTCTCTGCGTCATTAGCTTTCACTGCATCTCTCTCTCTTGTGTTATTTGTTTTAATGAAGATAGGGTTCAGTACTAACACCAGCACCATTCCTAGCGTGACACCACTCTAAGCTAAGAGCTGTCCTCCTCCGTCGGTTCATCTGAACACTCCCCAGATGGTCTATAACCAGGACTCTCCAGACTTGAGATCAAACTTTTCGACGTGTTTCCTTATTGTTTCTGAATCCCACAGGAAGAAACTCAACTTATAAACTTCTTTCCTTTGACTTTTGTTTTTACAATAGCTTCTTAGCTATCCATACCCAAGCTCAGCAGATGGGTTTGTGCCTTATTCTGGACAACAGATATAGTTGAATCAATTCCGTGACGTTTTCAAGGTTTGAGAAGGTTTTCCCTTACTGCAAGCGTATGAGACCAAAACGGACTGTTGTTCGTTAGTTACAAAAAAAATGTGCAAATGCCTTTGCTTTTATCCTAATAATGCTACTCACTTGGTACGCTAGTATCCATTACATATACATGTTGATGCATTAAAATATAGTGTTTTGACGGTTGATAAAATCGGATCTTCTGAATGGGATTCATACTGTTTCTGTCTTGGGTCAAGATAGCTTTTCTCGCACTGAACGTCCTGCAGTTTGTCAATATTCTTTCCCTCCATTACGCACCAGTGATTAATGACAATAGTACGTGACCTGGCAGAGAGAGTTCCGGGACGAAGGCCACGAAAATGGCAGCGCTGAACTAAGGTGCCAGTGCCGAGTAGTGCCAAAAGTGAGCTCGATGTGCTTCTGTTGCACCTTTTATGAGGAGCAACGTGTCATCAGAGCCTGCCGTGCCGATGGTGGCACCCTCGATCAGTATGGGGAAAGGGAATTATCAGGGGGGAAAGCGCCAAGCCATTACGACTGTATAGCACTGGGAAGGAGTCAGGATATAAGGATTTGGGATGAGACGGGGTGGAAGGAATGGTGCCCAACCACTTGGACGGTCGAGGATTGAACGCCGACCTGCATTAAGCGAGACCCTTCGCTCTACTGTTGACGGTGGAGCCCTCAGCACAACTCTGGGGGCCAAGCGTGCCGATGACGGCGCCCTCGGGAGGTCAGTGACTGATCATACGAAGCGGGTCTGGCGCCCTGATGGTGGCACCCCGAGAGAGAGATCGCCAACTTATCACAGCTTGAGGGCTTGGCGTGCTGACGGTGGCACTCAATAAGTCGTTCTCTGTCGTCTACTATCTCTCCTTATCGTTCACAATCTCTTGCCAAGCAGTACGAGCCGCAACGTTATATCAGCACTGTGTAAGCTTTACGGCAGCATAATTTATGCTTTATACCAGCACAATGAAAGCTTTATGAGAGAACATTATAATAGGTCATTTTTGTATTAGTTTAACAAAATTGTTTGATATAACGTTCGATTTGGTAATGTGTTTTCTAACTCAAAATTTATAATTTTCAAGTGTTCTCCTAATCCTAACTCTGCTCCAATTTTTCAACTTGTAACATAAAATAGAATTAGCTTTTAACGAATTATATAGTCTTTAATTTCCAGTCAAACTATCATCTTGACTGACGGAGACACTGTTGCTGGTGTTATCATTTGATAACCGCTACGTTATCACATATCACAATAAAAAATATATATTTTCCTCAAGTTTCAGTTCACGGTATATGTTTTTTTTAATAGGCTCTAGTTAACTTTACAGACATATCTCTTGACTGCCTGAACATTTATAATGAAGTCTAGTATAGCCGGCAAGACTGAACATAGTCTTGTCATACGGCTGAAAACACCTGAACATGAGTGAATAAAACCAATTTGTATTCTTCATTTGGGGAACAATTTACCCCCACACAGTTCACAGTTGGGGATGTGCCCGCCAGATGCCTCACGTTAACGCTGTTTCCCATCGGATGTTCCACATTACAGGTGATGTGGAACACTGGGGAAGCTACAGGTGTGTGTTAGGCTCACTGAAGGGCGGCCGGCTTGTGGAGGTCAGGTTGGGAGCCACTGGATGGGTTCGTGGATGGGCTGGCAGGAGGATTTAGATGGGCTTTTTTTTCCCTGCTGAATGGGTATGATGGGGGCTAGTGGATAAGCCTGTTGGGGCTAGTGGAGGATTAAGTTAGGGCTGGAAAATACAGTAGTCCTGGTGGATAGGTGTTTTCAGGCTGGTGGATCACCACGTTGACCCACCAGGCCAAAATACACAGACACCCTCCCCCCCCCCACCCCCCAGGGGCCTCGTAGCCTGGTGGATAGCGCGCAGGACTCGTAATTCTGTGGCGCGGGTTCGATTCCCGCACGAGGCAGAAACAAATGGGCAAAGTTTCTTTCATCCTGAATGCCCCTGTTACCTAGCAGTAAATAGGTACCTGGGAGTTAGTCAGCTGTCACGGGCTGCTTCCTGGGGGTGGAGGCCTGGTCGAGGACCGGGCCGCTGGGACACTAAAGCCCCGAAATCATCTGAAGATAACCATCTCAAGATAACCCCCCTCAAAGATACAACTGAACACACAAATGATTACAGTGATGCTTTCTGACCCGTTGAATAGGGTAAATACATGTATTATATGACAGAAAATATCGTACCTCTGTCATATTAAAGCATCCCATTTGCTTGTTTCCCTTTGCTTGTAGGCAGTTGGCAGAAGATGAAGGTCCAGGTGCGAGAGTGGCTTTGTAAAGGCTGTCGTTCTGTATCCCATTCTCTGACTGCTATTGTCTGCGCTGTCACCCTTGGGGCCCCGGACCCTGTACTGAATCCAAAAGTAAAATATTACATTTTCCTTCAAAATTTCAAAATAAGGTTCATAAAGAGTTACTATATTTACCTACGTACAAGACTCATTTACAAATGGCATTATGTATTTTTTTTAATATAATTGATTAAACATACAGCTATTTTCAAGTGATTTTGTAGTGGAAAAGTAAAAGTTTGTGCATGCAAATAATATTAACATTGAGTTAGTGGTGGATTGAAATCGTGCGTCCTATCCACCCGCAATGTGGCCTATCCACCCGCAATGTGGCCTATCCACCCGCAATGTGGCCTATCCACCCGCAATGTGGTACTCACCTGAGCTGGTGTTGTATATGATGTGAAGATCTATGTGCCATTGGAAGTCCAAGATTATCAGTTCTCTGACTAGGGAATTAATTATTTAAACTCTAAGCTCAGGTGCCACCAGGCTTTGGCTTGACGAATGATAGTTCTTGTTCATAGTGGCTTCCAAACTCTCGTCACGATTCTTCAAACATTTACGAAACCTGTACATTTCAACAATCATTGCAGCTTTGTTTACATTTCTTTAAAGAGTTTATGCGTTCTGAAGCATTACGAGGCTGTATATAACAACCTCTTAGGTTGTTATATACAGCCTCGTTAACGAGGATTCACGTGTTAGGCATAAAATGAACAGAACTACACTGTAAGAACTCTGAAAGTATTCAAGATTGATAAGTGAATTAACTAAATGATTTCAAATCCGGATCATTCATACGGAAACAAAACAAAGCCATCTTCTGAAAACAATTCAGTACCACTTAAAACATTTATAAAGGCTGAGTACCCCCTCTCTTTTAGCTTTGCACGTGAAAGCCGAGCCGTAAAGTTCAGTTTAAGACAATTATAAGCGGAACAAAGATTTTTTACCCTTCATTTTTACACAGACCCTAAAAGCATGCAACAATAGGAGCAGTTACTGATTATTTCCAAGCCTCCGGACCAAATATTCCGGAAATATCAAATATTTCCAGGTATTTCCTCCTCGGTCTATTAGAAAGCCTAATACTAAGATCTTTGCCTCAGGAACGATCCAGTAGCAGGCTTTTCTGCTATATCACCACTAAGGTTTTCCTACAATATCACAACAAAAGTTTTCATGCTATATCATTAAGATTTTCCTGCTGTATCACCACTACAACGCAGCTGCCTTCACCAGAAGATTGCATTGGTGTGGTTCCAAACCTTCATTAGGATAAAAGGAACACATTCCTGTAGTATCGAGCATTTGTTTCAAGTCTTTCTGCCATTTTTCCAGGAATTTAGTCGTGCGTAGCACAACTGGCCCCCGGCCGGGTGAAGTTAAGATTAAGCCACGGCAATTGAATGCTGGCAAGGCAATTTTAATAATAAGGTCGACACGACTTGAATTCTGAGCCAGGATTTATCAGGCATTTACGCAACAACTTATGAAACCTGGCCATCTGTCCTCGATCACTGCGGCTTTGTTTACACTGAATAAATATTTTATGAACTACGAGGTTGTTTATAACACTATTAACCTTGGGTTGTGAAGTTAAAAAGCTTGTAAACAATTTAATAAATGTAAACAAATCCGACATTACGAAGGAAAGATGTACAGGTTTCTTTTCATACCAGTTGGGGGGGGGCTACTACAAAGTTGGGATAAGAGTTGCCTCATATGGTCAAAACATCTTCACTTCCTTATTTTTATCTTATGTTATTAACAGTAAAATAATAACAAGTTAATAATAACAATAATAAAACCTGGAAGTTAGGGCTGCTGGAGGGGAGATTTAGAAAGAAATACAAGAAAGTGGACGATAAATTAACAATGTAAATATCTCATCACTGTCCCGCTTGTGGCGTGAGATGTGTGTCAACTGATGCTGGTGGTGATGTACAGTTTGGACAGGAAATGTAGAGGGGAAATTAAAGCCAGACGAGAGAGACAGAGTAGGAATGTTTTGTATGTGGAGGTTCATAGCTCTCTTTCTCTCTCAGGTTGCCACGAGTCGTCAGCGGGTGTTGCCACGAGTCGTCAGCGGGGTGTTGCCACGAGTCTTCAGCGGGGTGTTGCCACGAGTCGTCAGCGGGGTGTTGCCACGAGTCGTCAGCGGGGTGTTGCCACGAGTCGTCAGCGGGGTGTTGCCACGAGTCGTCACCAGGTGTTGCCACGAGTCACCAGGTGTTGCCACGAGTCCCCAGCACGCTGACCACTTTTATTACACACTCCTGCTCCTAGGAGCAAGCACTGAGGCGACGCAGCACACCAGGAAACCTGTTGACAGCTCCCTCTCTCTCTCACACACCAAATTAAATTCATATAATAAAATAATTACAAGAAATTGAAAAGTGTTATTACCTACGAATTTATTACTAAATCACACTTCCATATATAACATTCTCCCTGTCACTCCACGAGCAAACACTATCTCCCCCCAGCCCACCCCGCCAGAAACCCCCCAAGACGCTCCATCCCAACAATTAAACCCCCTTGCCCACCAACAACCATTCCCTCACCCACAACCCCTATCGGCCTACCATACCTACAACCACTTCCTCTCCAGCCAGGAGTGGGACTGGAGACTCTCCCACTCCAGGCATGGGAGAGAGTGGGACTCTCTCCCATGCCAGTCTCCAGCATACATGCTTCGAAGAGCTCCCGTTCTTAAAACCTCCAAAAATGTCCCCCAAAATGGGTTTAATGGGGCGTGAAGCACGTAGTATTCCCTGGAGTTTCCCCAGCAATCTCCCGTTGTCCCTTCCCTCTCGGTAATCCCCTGGCAGGGAATTGTCCCCAGCACGAGCTGCTCTAGGGCGAGAATATGATTGGAAGACTGAAGAATACGGTCAATATTCTTAATATAACAGAGTATATTGAATACCCTTAACGACAAGGGGGTTTTCACGTAGAATAATTACATATACATTTACCTTCAGATACAAAAATAATAAAGCGGAAAAGAGGGAGAGAAAAAAAATGACCTACATTGTATATACATCATCGTAATAACCTTGTATACAATGAACAAACAATGTAAAGCTAATTTATTTCCTGGTATTAAAAAAGGCCCTGAAGGCCAGCTCTTTGTGGAAGGCTTCGTGAAAGCCATTATGCAAGCCATTGTGGAAGCCATTGTGGAAGCCATTCCTTAATGATGTCAGATATCCAGGAAATTCATCTCTGCTTAATTGATTTCGCATAGTCCTCGCCACCGAGAATGCATTATTAATAAGCCAATTAACCAGGCGATTCAAATTTCTAGGTAGTTAATATTTCTAGTTGCTATGAGGAAGTTACTTGAAGGAGAAATCAAAAGATATGTTTAACACCAGGTGCGCTGTAGATCCTTAATGTCAAACTATCATTGAACTGAATCGTATCATAATTTCTAGCGAAGTTGTAGGTACTGAATAGATACCTGGTCATAAGAGGAATGGTGTAGGTTCAGGTCCCGGTACCATATCGTACGTGGTACCATATCGTACGTGGTACCGGGGTGTAGGTTTTGAACCAGGTACCTGATCACACTAGGGAAGGGTCAGACACTACCTGATCATATACGGCGTGTGCGTGCGTTTATAATGTTCTAGGTCTACTTGTCGCTATTTATTTGCCTATAGTTCACTTATCTACTGTAACTGCAATCTACTTATCGACCTATTAGTCAATGATCTGCTTATATATGATTTAGTTTCTACTTACAAACTGTTTATTTCATTGTTATTGTTAACTCTTCTCACTATTTATATGTCTAGTCTTATTCAAACTATGTAACTTGACTATATTTTACTTCTCTCTCAAGTTTTCCATTTTTTTTCTGAACTTGTTTAAAATTAATAGTTTGAAATATTTAGTACTAATGTGTGTGTGTGTGTTCGTTTCTTTAGGATCAATGGTCATAGCTGTGTATAATGATTCTTCAATAGATGGTGTGTGGGTGTGTGTGTTCTTACCTGTTTGTAAAACTGACTCACCGAAAATGATGAAGAAGTCTGTGGAGAACTGATGACAGATTTCAGGAAGTATTCACAGCTGAAGTGGAACACCTGGCAGACTCAAGAGAGAAGAGGTGGGTAGGACCTGCGATGTGACAGTGTTGTAACATAATAGCACCTGAAGGACTAAGATATATTTAAGGCATTAACCCCGGAAGACAGAAGGAAGGTGGAGGAGAAAGCTGGACAAAAAATAAACTATACTGTCTCGTGGGAATGATTTCAATGTAAGGATAAAAAGTGGTGATGTCCGGGGATCTGCAACCCATCAGTGACCCACAGAGGATCAAGACAAGAACATCTTCCTTGAGGTAGCAGATACGACTCAGACTCCACAAAGCTGTTAATAACGAGAGACTGCAATCAAGGCTAAATAGACTGGAAAACAATGGACCCGAGAGAGAAGAAAAATGGAAAGCCAATTTGATAGAGGTTGCAGAAAAAAAAAATCCATTTTCTGTTTTTCTCTTGATATCAGTCAGCAAGGCTGACTGACCATGGTCTTCACACGAGTGATTCAACGAATGAAAACATAGTAAATGTTATTTAGGACTAGGAAATAAAAAAAAAACAGTAGTCTTATTCACATGAATCTCATTTTTGGTGTTGTCTTGCAATGCAAAGGATTCTTATGTGCCAGAGATAATTTGTACAATTTGTCAGTCACAAATCACTCAAGGCACAAAGTCGACCCAGAGAAGCATGGTGTAGGTGCGGAAGATGTCTGGAAGGGTTGTTTGATCTTAGCACTCCACAATTTAACTGTCACAATGTTTATATTGTCATTTAGAACAAGCCACATAGTTCCTGGAAGTTTTGGGGAATATTTAAATGAGCTAATTTAAATTAGCGACGACTTCTCGCTGTGAACCTTTTTTATATTTAGTAACATTATTATTAATACAATTATGATTATTATTATTATATTCTTATTGTAATAAGAACTGGGTTCGTATCTTGACCGGGGAGGATTGACTAGGCACCAATCCTTAACTGTAGCCTCTGTTCACCCTGCAGTGAAAGGGTACCTGGTTGATAAAGGATTTGGCGGGGTCGTATTCCGGGGAAACCTAGGATTAAGGACCTGCCCGAAACGATATGCGAGCTATTGGCTGTATAAGAATGTAAGAACTCTTGTATCAGGTGTGAGAGCAGGGTATTGAGTAACGTCACGCGTCAACATTGACCCGTTGTGGGGGGACTGTTGACACAGTATTAGTGTGACGAGCCTATACGCTCACATGACAGAAATATTTACAATGTGCTATTTATAATATTGACGCATCATTATTATAGCAAGAACGATTATAAAGGCGCTGAGAATATATATATATATATATATATATATATATATATATATATATATATATATATATATATATATATATATATATATATATATATATATATATTATATATAAATATATAAATATACTGAAAACTCACACCCCCAGAAGTGACTCGAACTCATACTGCCAGAAGCACACTGCAACTGATATACAGGATCCCTTAATCACACGACCGGACAAAAGAGAATGGTAGCCAAGGCTAATTCCCCATCCCCCCGCCGGCACTCTGTTGGTAATCTTGGGCATGGTATTTTATCAAATCACCTCATTCTTTGTGGCACACGTGCGGACCACAAATGCGAACAAGCCTGGATGGTCTCCAGGCATATATGCAACTGAAAACTCACACCCCAGAAGTGACTCGAAACCATATTGCCATACCGAACCCTTTGTCTAGTCGTGTTGGTCACATTTGACCAACATATTTGATAGGTCACATTTTGCACATACCCCTCTGCAGTTTTCTAATTTTCGGAAATATAGCAAATCTGACTCCTGAGCCATATTTTGGAGCCAAATAATGGTTCACTGTACATATTTGCAGTTATAAATTACGACTTTATATACCGAAAATATGCCAATTACAGAAAACGACGATGTGTCATATTTTGCCCAAACTCCCCCCCCCCCCCCCCCCTGCAGTTTTCAAAATATCTGAAATGTCAGAAATTTGACTCCTGAACGTAATTTTGAGGCAAATTCTGACTCTCTGCACCTATTTTCATTTTCAAATGACGATTTTTATCCGAAAATATACTAATTACTGAAAAAGGCGGTGGGTCATATTTTGCCCAAATACCCCTGCAGTTTTCAAAACATCGTAAATGTCGAAAATTTGACTCCTGAGCGTGATGTTTGAGTCGAATTCTGACTCTGCCTCAATTTTCATTTTCAAACTACGACTTTTTATACCAAAAATATGCCAATTACTGAAAACGGCGATGGGTCATATTTTGCCCAAACCCTCCTGCAGTTTTCAAAGTATGTGAAATGTCGAAAATTTGACGCCTGAACGTAATTTTGAGGAAAATTCTGACTCTCTGCACCTATTTTGATTTTCAAATAACGATTTCTTATACCGAAAATATGCCAATTACTGAAAACGGCGGTGGGTCATATTTTGCCCAAACACCCCCCCCCCCCCAGCAGTTTTCAAAATATCTGATATGTCAGAAATTTGACACCTGAGCGTAATTTTTGAGCCGAATTCTGACTGCACCTTTTTTCATTTTCAAATTACGAATTTTTATACCGAAAATATGCCAATTACTGAAAGCAACAGTGGGTCATATTTTGCCCAAACCCCCCTGCAGTTTTCAAAACATCCCAAACATCCCAAATCCGATACTTGAGCCATATTTTGGAGTCAAATTCTGGCTCTCTGCACCTATTCGCAGTTTGAAATTTCTAATTTTTATACCAAAAATATGCCAATTACTGAAAGCGGTGGTGTGTCACATTTTGCCCAAACCCCCTTGCAGTTTTCAGAATATCCCAAACATCCCAAATGCGACTCCCGAGTCATATTTTGGAGCCAAATTCTGGCTCTCGGCAAATATTCGCAGATTGAAATTCCGACTTTTTATACCGAAAATATGCCAATTACTGAAAGCGACAGTGGGTCACATTTTGCCCAAACCCCCCTGCAGTTTTTAAAATATCCCAAACATCCAAAATTCGACTCCTGAGTCATATTTTGGAGCCAAATTCTGGCGCTCTGCACCTATTCGCAGTTAGAAATTTCGACTTTTTATACCGAAAATATGCCAATTATTGAAAGCAGCGGTGGGTCACATTTTGCCCAAACCCCCCTGCAGTTTTCAAAATATCCCAAACATCCCACATTCGACTCCTGAGTCATATTTTGGAGCCAAATTCTGGCTCTCTGCATCTATTCGCAGTTTGAAATTCCGAATTTTATACCGAAAATATGCCAATTACTGATGCGGTCGTGGGTCACATTTTGCACACATCCC